AAACGCTATCCGTGACATGTTGAAGCGTAGAGATCTTATAAGACAAATATGTGACCGTCAACCTTGCCTTGTTCAACAATATTGTAGAAGTCACCGCCGCCAGCGTTGGTTTTTTTTTCACCTCTTACTCCAATTCCTTCTCTCTCCATCTTTTCCTTCCCGCTGCTATGGAACTGCGTCGCTTACCTTTTCACACCAAGGAGTTTCCTTGGTCACACACATGCAGGTATATTCTGAGGCAATTTCGCCAGGGGGGGGGGGGGGGGGGGGGGCTTTCTAGTTCAAACTTGAGTGTGTATGCGATGCAAGGAAGCAAACAAGAAAAAGACACTTTATCATAGTGAAAATGTCATTTTGTCATGGAACTACTAAATAAAAAATTGAAATATGTCTTTGGTGCCAAATATGAGGTTACATTTGCCGGAATATTAGTATTTTTAAAGTTATGGGGGGGGGGGGAGGCTTCAGCCTATAAGCCCCCCCCCCCCGCCATCCACGGCTATGATCATTGCTTTTCTTCCTTTCCATTTAAATAAGTTATTACATTATTTCTTAACTCTTATTTCATAAAATATAAGTAATGTACATAACGTGTAATTAGTAGAGGACGGGCTCAACATGAGATTTACAAAGTTGTTTGTTTTAAACTTAGGATACAGTACACAACCCACATCTGGGAGGTTTAGCCTCTAGAATGCCTGCATTTTTAACGAAATCGTAAGTTGTTTGTTGGGACTTCTTTGTCATTGTAAACTGCCGCTCAATATGAATAATAATATGTCTCATGAATGTTTTTCCTGACTTGCAATTTACTTTACAGATTCGATTTTATTCATATTGATAAATCACGAAAATATGTTAAATTTCCAATACGAAGAAAATAATTATTAACTGAGACAGGTGTATAAAGATAACCCAAGCTACGACCATTATCCCTTTTTATAAGGTTCTGAGATGAGAATATAGTATGCAATAAACTCTAATGCCCTTACTGCTGTGTATTATTTGTATACTTTTAGAGGGGTAGAGGAGGGAATGGTTGGCAAAAGTCATCACGTTTGGAAGCTATGCCAAACACGCGCACTTAACGTAAAATCAAAGCGATGTTGAATGTCATTTAAAGTCAAGGTTTCTTCATAAACACACACGGTAGATTGCAATCATTTGTTTTTATCCCAACATTCAAGAAAACAGTGACCGTGCGCGCTTGGCTTCTGGAATAAGATTCAAAATAGCGGTGTAGTCAAGCAACTACTTAAATAAGCATCCACCCGAGGAGTGACAATCCTATCTCTAGCAGGATGGAGACGGTGAGGTTTCGTCAAAAGTTTTACAGGGACTCCTTGACCTACCTGTTGCTAAGACACCCCTTTCTCCTCCTGGTTGTCAATCATTACCATACCTAAGTGCTCCAGATTCAGAGCTAAGAATACCAGTGGTGGCGTCAATGACATAGTGGCATTTGCCTCTTTGTAAACCCCTCCTCTCAATCAGCTCTTGCTCAAATTATGGAGGGGTCTTTCAGGGGTATCTACCGGCGTTTTAATTTTTGTTTTGTTTTGGTGGCATCCCCTTAACATCTCATTTGAACAAGTTTTGGTGATAATAACGACATTTTAACATTGTGGATTAGGATGGTTTTGCTCCTACCCCCCTTTCCCCTTCACGAATAGGTTTCCAAAATTTAGAGAAGTTACAGATTTTTTTTCCATTCTGCATGGATCGAGCAAAAAAGGTGTTAAATAGCCCCATTGCTTTTCCTTGCCCTCAGTTGACCGTCCCAGCTTCTACAATCCATATGCAATATGTTTATGCTATATTTCACAGTCCTTTTGTCCTTTCATTCTGTTATGAAGCTAGCATGGGAAGCATTGGAATATGTAAAATCCAAATGAGAAGGCAGAGATCAGAGTTATGAGACCTTTTTCTGGCAGAGGGGGAAAGCATTAATTGAATTTGGGAGGAATGAGAAGAGAGTTGAGTAGTTAAATTGTCGGAGGTATAGTGCGCCGAAGTTGATCATTTTAGTTATAGAGAGGGACAGTTATTATTACAGGGGACCAATATTAAATAAGAAGAAAGAGGCGAAAACGATTACGCATGAATTATGATAACAAAAGTAAAGGGTGTATATAGCAGCTGAAAAAACAACTATAGCAACATAGAGAAATTGAAACAAAGTCGGTAGAAAGAGGAAATAAACTTTAAAAAAAAATGAAAAGTAACACAAATATTATATTATCCATTATATTATTATCCTCTTGAAGGACAGCAATGATCGATGTGAGACCCCTTCTTATTCTATGAGATAAAACACAAATGATATTCAAGGTTACTAAACAACAGATAATGGTTTCTAACTGTGTTGATAAACAATCGAATAACGACAATCTTCCTTGCCGTCACAATTTTGGTTTTTATTAGCAATTACAAAACAATCGTTTTCTGACATTTCTAATTCTTTGATCTAACTATGATTGATTTGATAAAGGAAGAGTTGGCAGACGACCCACATTCGTCAAGAAGCTCAGTGGAAAATATAAGACGACATGTAGTTGGAAAAATGTGATATTTCTGCGAAGTACCATTGCACTGGGCACGCGAAAATAAGCAAGTGGCCCGTGTTGAGATTCTCCCGCTAAAAGACACACCATTGCATTGATGAAAAAAGGTAACATCTCAAGATGACAATTACTTTGGGACTTATGGGAATGCTTATAAACTTATTAAACATAATCAGTCGCGGTCTGAGAGATTAATTAATCATCCCGTATTTCAATACAGATAATTAGCCTAAAGGCTTTCACAAAGACGGGTTTAAGTTTGATAAAAGTCAAGAAAAATGTCCATATAATAATGGCAGTGTCTTCGTGTGTTAATACATTTGGATTTGTAAAAAAACGAACAGCATGTAGTGATCATAATTATTTCCCTTATGACTCCTCACCTATAATGTCACTGAATCTTTTCCCAACAATTTAATAATACTACACAAATATTATTCAATGCCCGCTATCTGATGCTTCTTTAATCTGTTTAAGTCAGATTGTTATTTGGTTGTACAAAATATTGTGCAACTCACTTGTAAACTTTCTTGAACTGTTGAAGGAAAACGGAAAAAGAGAGTCCATTACAAGCATTATGATATGCAACAATAATGACTTTAAAACAATTTACGGTATGGGTGGCATACAATTGTTGTCTTCTTCAAAGTAAATAATAGTAATATGACGACTTTTCCATTGGTAGATCAAGGGGTAACACGGGGGGGGGGGGCGGCTCTTCCCCGCCCCAATTTAATGAAAGAAAATGTGCCCCCTCTCATAAAGATGTGACTACATTTTTTGCTGTTCCTTATCTTAGCATTGTTACTAAAAAGGCACCCACAAAATCTAATTATTCTGAAAAGCTGACATTCATGAACGTGGACAGTCGTGTAACAGGAGAATGTATAAGTTTGCACTACGGTTCGTGATTAGCCAACTGGTACGCACCGAGCCAACATACCTCTACTCACAACGCCCTCCATCTTTCAAGCACGAGATGGCGATGTTCAATATCATTTTAAAATACACATAGACTTACCTGCCTTCTAGTCTAGTCTGTCCTCCAAACTATCTCTACCTTTGCTCCCTCTCATAATAATATATAACTCCGCTTTTATATAGCGCTTAATACATCCATGATGATGTTTCTAAGCGCCTTACATAATATATTATTACTCCGGTCATTGAATTCAATACTTGCCCGCACACAATGTGTGCACAATCTCCACTCCCGGTGGAACATTGCAGCCAGGCGTTACTTGACGCTCAAAACTGTCCAACAATGACGGTCGCATCCTACCGGGTACCCATGGAGAGTAGCAAGGTTAATATCTTGCCAAATATCATAGATCCCGTCTCATTCCTTCACGTCTTCTCACTCTCTCTTCCATCCTCATCCATTCCCCTTTCCTCCCTGCTTTTTTCCCATCCTTTCTCTTATTGCAGCTCTTAATCATTTCCTATCTTTCAATGATTGCCTGAGGATCCCATCTTTATCAGACCCAATTGAAGAACAGTTAAACTATAGGTGTAAAGAAGTATACAAACATCTGGATTGGGTTTACGATTTATACCATGTTTTTTGTAATGTATTTTTGTTTTAATTTGTATTTATTGATATATTTATTTCAAACAATTGCCGCGGATCTTGCCGCGGATCTTGCCGCGGATCTGGAAGGGGGGGGGGGGGGGGAATCGTGCAAAACCAAATCTAGAATATCTGAAGTACATACATTATTCTTTAAGCAGGGAGATCTTTTGTTTCAAAAAGTCAAATGAATATCTGAGATTAGGTTAGTGTGTGCACCAATAATAGTAGAATTGATGAGCTGAATAACAGCAACAGTGCGTTTCTAGAAAGAACAGAGTCATATGGCTATATAAACAGAGCTGTCCACAATAAAAAGCCATATTAAAGGTAAAGACCAGTTATGGTCATGCGATTGCATTGTGAAAGAAACGTTGTGGAATCGATCAGAAAAGGTTGATCATCTAGCATCTAGCATCTGCAAGGTTCTGGAATCATCAAAATGATAAGAAATTTGGCCCATTCTTCGTAAAGTTACAAGCACTATACACAGAAAGATGTATATGGGACTACCCTATATCTCTCACAGACCATGAGAGAAACAAATTTACCAAATATATGAATTAGTAGGCGGTTTCCCGGCAAATTTGTTATCATCATGTATAGTATAGTCAAAACATATTCTTTCACATGATTGGTAATGAGAGCTTCCATTTCATTTTTTAAATTGGGGCGTTTCCAATACTGATCTTTACCTTTAAACTCGTCGTGGATCTATGCAGACGTTTCTAAATTCTTAATATTTAGACTATAGGCCTACTTGTATATGTTTACATGGTATGTTCATTTTACTTTTTTAAATACGGATTAATCCATCTAACCAGGATATAGTCTGTAATTGCAGACTACATCCGGTTTGTGACGCAATCAAAACAAGCAATCCAGTAGTTCTGTGACACTTGGCATTCTGCAAAACCACCAGCGAGAAAAAACAAGCGAACATCACCACCATTAGGAGTCATGAAGCATTAACGATGGTCCAGTACAATGTAGTTATGACATTTTTCAGTCTTGTTTCGTTTCTTGGATGGTTGTTTTACATTTTAGTCGTATTTTCATCACAGGGACAGAGTTATGTTTCGTCGTGGTTTTCGAATTCGTTATTTGTGCGTAAGCGAATGTCAATATGGCACGACCACAAATATTATCATTTTCCAGAATCAGAACGATTACGACGAATTGAGGACGTTAAACGAATGTTTCAATTTGGTTACGACAACTACATGAAGTATGCATTTCCTTTAGATGAGTTAGACCCTATACATTGTACTGGTCGGGGTCCAGATCGAGATAATCCGTGAGTATTTCCTTGTATTTGGATTTATTACAGTGGTCCCATGTGTTGATATTTACGTAATTCTAAAGATGTCAATCTACCCTTCCAAATAGTCTGTTTTCAGACCTTTGATTGATGAAACATAGACTATGGTAATCTATCCTGCCTGCACAATTCACCTCTTACTTGTTTCAGCAATATTTAATGTATATTTGGTAAGGTTAATGAGCAAAATTACTTTGTGATGGAAATTATGATTACTGACTATCTTGTATTACCCCCAAACAACATGATTTTGTAATTATGCCCATAAATTAGGGATTTTCATGATGTTTATTTTTCATTCGCTGGCAATTTTGAAATTACAGCCCATAATTTGCAAATGCTTGTTTTATATATTGCAAAGAATTCTCGCTACCCCAAATAGCGATTCTGCCGAGATCCGGGGAAAATCCTGAAAACGCGCATTGCATTATGGGATAGCTTTTCGACATTACAGCTTCCTGTGCAGGCGTTCGTGATCACAACCCTCTCTTTCACGGTAGAGTTTAACGGCCTTTTGTGCTAAAGTCACTAATTCTGCCCGAAGCTTTCCATTGCATATTATAATCTGTACAAATTACACTGATTGGCATCGATTTTAGCGTGCGTGAAAACTCTGCACAGCGAACACAGGCGCTAGCGCCAGCGGGATGGGACTCTATACCGGAAGTTGTAGTGACGACCCGAGAGAGTGAAAATTACCTCGTCTCGCGAATTTCGAGATTTTCGTACCTATTTAGGGTAGCGAGAATTGTCCACAGTCTTTGTGTTATTATATTTTCTTCACATTTGACAAAGATATTATTGTTGATATTTGTATTATTGTTATTTTACTAGTATTATTATCATTGTTACTATTATTACTATTATTATTGTCGTAGTTTTTGTTTTTATTATTATGAACTGTCTTGTATATATTTATTTACAGGGAAACCTAGTAAATATAAATGATTATTATTATTGTGGTAGTTGTTGTTTTATTATTATTAATTGTCTTGTATATTTATTTACAATATAGGGGAAATCTAAATATTAATGATGTTCTTGGAGACTTTTCGCTGACATTGATAGACAGCTTAGATACTCTTGCAGTAAGTATTTTCTATTCTGGGCATATTTTCTCTTCATACTTGGAATGATAAATTCTTTCTTTTTAATAGATCTACGTTATACATGTATAATCAGATGCCACACAACATAAAATGATTTGTTATTGTCAGTTTCCAATTTTTATTATTAGGCAAGTCTCATTAAAATAATATTAGAAAATTCCTCACAATAGACCATACTTCTGTACAAGTATTAACATGTTCATTAATATATCATATTATATGATGTTCATGGGTAGGGTAAAATGTTGTTTGTGTTATTTAAGGAATGACATAGTTTACTATATTTATTGTTATTTGCATTTTATCCTTGCACATTTATTTTAATAATACCATTTGAGTATTTCTTAGGATAAATTTCAAGACATAGCAAGAAACGAAAATGCTGTATAAGCCAATATTTTTGCATAAAGATAGTTTCGCAGATCAAAGATTTAAGGACAAATTCGCAAGTTGCCAAATTTGCGTGAAGCCACAACCACTACCAATTGTATACTTTTCAATAATTACTATTCTATTTCCTGGAGCATGAACTCTTAATTGAGTATCACAATCATTTGATAATATAAGAATTATTTTGTGGAAAATAAAATAAAATAATCCATTGAAGTACCGCATACCCCGTGATACGACTCATGTTGTAGTGTGCGACATGCAACAGGGCTTATTTTGGTGATTTCGACATGCGACATTACTTCCTAGATATATTTTTTCGCAATGTGAAAATAGTGATTTGCGAAAAATAAAAACCCTGCAAAAATAACTGGTCATACAGTATTACAATGATATGATGTCCAAATGCTAGAATGTACATGTATGTATACACATCAATTTGCTGTGTGCATACAAAGGGATCCTCTGAATGCTTTTAAATCTTTAGTCAATGTGAATTCATTTTTGAAAGGATTACATTTTGTTTCATTCTTCATTCAGATAATTGGGAATGCCAGTGAATTCCAGAAAGCTGTGCAACTCGTCTCAGAAACAGTATCATTTGAGAAAAATTCTACTGTCCAAGTATTTGAATCAACAATAAGGTAAGTTACATCAACTCCTGTGATTAAAATTGATAATACACATCTGTAAATGCAGAACATTAGAAAAAGGACAAATAAAAGTAATGTTGGAAGCCTGCATGTATGTTTACAAAATTGTATCCATATGATTAATTACTCTCACTTGAAACATATGTTTTATTTCTCACACATGTATAGCTCTTTTCTACACACTATCTGTATCATCATTGACCTTATCATGACATTAGAGTTTATGTAAATATCTACACATGTAACTTGAATGTATAGATTATCAAGGATTGGTCCAGCATAGATACGGATAGTAGTTTATCTGGAAAGAAACCAAATTCGAAGCATGGTATTCTAACCAAAAAAAATCTAGAATCAAGTTGATTCAGCAAATTTAAGTAAATTCAAGTCTACTTGCATTGATTTTTTATGTTGACTTTTGTTTACACATGTTAATTAATTATTTCAGTAGTGAGTGTTCTCAACAGGACCATTTAGCTGTGGCTTATGAATGGAAGTTTTCCATTAGCAATGAAAAACATTCTTCTTTTTCCCGATTTAGGATAATAGGGGGGTTATTATCAGCGCACCTGCTCATCTTGGATCCTCTCAAGCCGCTGGGGGATCTTGCCCCTCCAGACTATGACAACAAACTGCTTCATCTCGCTCATGATCTTGCCACAAGACTTCTTCCAGCCTTTGAAAACTCTCCAACAGGGCTTCCCCATCCAAGAGTGAGTAACATTGTCACGATTCCCATTGTTGAGACTTCTGGGCCCTGTCCTTTAAGGAGTTTTGATTGGTCCAAATCAATTGCAAGTCCTTCTTCAATCAGTCAATATTTTCTCTTATCCTTTAAGTATAAATTAAGTGATTGACATGGACTTGGCATCAATCAAATCAATAACAACTCTTTATAAGATGTGGCCAAGGAAGGTGATGACTGCTTGATTGGAATGGAAATTTTCTGTTTGATTACAAATTATTAATGTTGTATTGCAGGTTTGAGAAAGGTGTTGATTTGTTATGTTGCAGGTTTATATGGACTGTTGAAATGTCTTATGGGTTTGTACTCAAAGAAAGGAATAATGATGCATCTTCAGTATTAAAAGATTTGTTTCTTTTGAAATAAAAAGGCCCTGTTCATTACAAATGAGTAATGTTGTATTGTGGCAAACAAAAGATTTAGGCCGTTTAGGAGTCTTAAGGGTTCGTACTACAAACAAAATTGGATTATGATGGATATACCTACTGTTTATAGATAAGAGTTATATTTAAAGAATTAAGTGTAAAAACATGAAAATGTAAATCAGGCTGGAATGTGTGGAAAATGCATTCTGTACCGTATAAAAATCAAATCATATCCAACCAATCGAAACCTCATCCCAACAAAGAAACTTGGGTGAATGGTTTCTTACTTTCCAAGGAACTCTCTTGCAAACTTATCATCTGCTTGCACTTCTAGGTGAATCTATGCACAGGTGTCCCTGAGGGAGGGATCCAGGAGGCATGCACTGCTGGAGCCGGCTCCTTGCTCCTGGAGTTTGGACTCCTAAGCACCCTGGTGGAGGATCCAGTCTTTGAGAGCCTTGCCAGGAAGGCAGTCACTTCACTGCTGGATAAGAGGTCTAACCACACAGGGCTGCTGGGTAAGAAGCATACTGGGGGGTGTTTCACGAAATTTGTCATCAGTGACAAATGACAGTTGTTGTTATAAGCTACTGAAATCCTTGCTTCTGATTGGTTATCAGCAGATTTGTCACCGATATTTGGCGTTTGTCATTGAAAAAAGGCTTTGTGAAACAGGTCCCAGGAACAAATATTTCATTTTTCATTTATATAGTGTGGAAATGAATTTTAATAACATGTTTTTTAATTTTATTACAGAGAAAAATCTTTAACCCATGTCCTTGGATGTATTATTATATCTTGTATGTTACTTTCCTCCTCAAATTTCTACATCTTATTTGTTCAATACATTCAGTTTTCTTGATGTGTTTTAACACCTCATGGCTCTGTGTGTGAAGTGAGATATCTTTACCCATGGGGTAATGTAATAGTTACAATCCCTAGAATGTAATTAGTAAAAATGATGCCTGCTAATTAAGTTTATGTCAATTTTGAAAATGAATTTAAAGGTTATTCAAGAAATATCAGAATGCAATGTAATATCAAATATGATAAAATTTCTCTATTTACAACCCTGTCTTAACATCTATTGTTTGTTTTTATTTGACTGCTAAGAAACAAGTGTTTGTTTGTAAGTATTAAGCAACCAGGGGCCAGTTTCTCGCAACTGTCGTAAGTCTAAGTTTGTGGACATCCCAAAGAAATGTGTGACAATTCTATAAGACATGTTTTGAAAATCCCCCCTAAGGACTGACAGCTTTAGGTCCTCTCTGAGAACAGAATCTATCATCTTTTGTTTTGTTTTGCCGTGAAATAGGTAATGTGATGAACATTCAGACCGGTCAATGGGTTGGTGTTCAGAGTGGTTTAGGAGCAGGCCAAGATTCTTTCTATGAGTACTTATTAAAGGTAAGTTTTGCTCAGGGTGTTTTCTTTGCTTCCATTATAAAGATGTTGCAATAATAACTCTAATTAAATGAGGTGACTTGGTTTGGTGCACAACAGAAAGGCAGTAACATTCATGTTCATAAGATTAAGTTTATAGACTTTTCTTTATAAGAGCAAATCAAAATATTCTGCTTTACTTCGGGCACTACTTTCTAATATGTGATATCAATTGGTACTGATAGTTGATAAGACCACATGAACATGTATCTTTTTATTCTATGGTGCTGAAACTGTAGTTTTTTAGCAAAAAAAATCTGCTACCAATTTTTGATGTAGTAATGGGTGTAAGCCCCTCTTCAAAACAGATATTACGATGTGATTCCTACCTGTCACAAAAATTTGTCCATTTTTTTCATTACATACAGAGTTTCATCATGTTTGGCGATCAAGAGTACCTGCAAGCATTTAATGAAGTGTATGGCAGTGTCAAGAAGTACATGAGAAAAGGGTTAGTTACTTCAATTATCTCAGTCTGGTGTAAGTATCGAGGACTTCTTGAAATGGCGTTGAAATTGTTTTGTGTTTACAATAAAAAAGAAAATGTACACTTAGTTTATGCCACACCAAATATCAGGATACATTCTGCTTCAGAATCAGCTTTGTAATGCAGAGTACATATTATAATGAATAATTGAAATTGATAAATGTATGTGTCACATACTTGCGGTGAATGGCTTCTATGTTGCTGATACAGTGTTACTAAACCTATAAGATTTATTTTAAAAATGTGAATATATGATCATAGATGAACAAAAAGTCATATCCCCCTGAACATTACCTCACTTTGGTCGGTCAGCTTGGCGGTGTGACTAGAGTATCAGCCAATGAGATGTATATCTTTATCAGCTAGTATAGTGAGATTTTAAATTTTTATTTAGGAACATCAAGAATGCCCACTCCCTGCAGCTTCTCATCTCACAACATCTCCCTTTAAGTTTGTTCAATCAAATTGCTTTAAATTGTTATGGCTAACTCTACTTCAGTTGTTTGACTGTATGCCTTTTGTTGTATATAATACTTGCAGACGTAAACATTGTAGATCTGGTGTCGGTGATAGTCCACTGTATGTCAATGTCAACATGAACACAGGAAACCTCATGAACAACTGGGTTGACGCATTGCAAGCGGCCTTCCCTGGTATCCAGGTAAATTTCAACATCACTATGGTTTTAATAGAGGAAAGATAGCAGGCACATGACTGTGAACAGGTCTAAGTAATTGAGAACTATATTACTAGATCTTGTGATTATTTCTTGCTTATATTAAACAAGCACTACCAATTTTGTACAAATGCCTTTTTAATGATAATGATAATTATAATTGTGTCTTATGATCTTATCTTATTACATATGTGGGTAGCCACGTCAGTATTAATACTGCTCCTCCTGCAGGCCCTGCAATTAGTATTACCTAGCTAGATACTGCCAGGTACCCATTTACAACTGGATGGAGAATGGCAAAGAGGGATGAACATCTTGCCAGAGGACATTAGTTCCTGGCTGACATTCAAACCCTCAACCCTTGGACTGAGAGTCAAGTGAATGAACCACTGAACCATGACACCTCCATAACACCTTATATTTTGATATTGATAACGCGTATGATGAGCGTATCTTACAAATAATGGTTGGAACTCATACAGCACCTCTGGTAAAAAAAGAATGCTACGTATCTGTTGATGGCAATCTATACTCACCTTACTTTGGAAGGTACTGGCCGGTGATCTGGACGAGGCTATATGTAGCCACGCCTACTACTATGCCATCTGGCGAAAGTTCAGCGCCCTGCCGGAGAGGTTTGATTGGTCCCGTAAGAACGCCAATATACTCTTCTACCCCCTGCGGCCTGAGCTTATAGAGTCTACTTATCTTCTTTATCAGGTAAGATAGTGTATGGATGATGATGCAAATGATAGTTGTGTTGTAATGGACCAGTTTACCAGCAACATTAATGGACATTCTTCCTAGAAGACAATGTAGTGCTCATGTTCTGTATATATGGGAGCAGCTCTGTGCAGGAAATCCACTTTACAGATGTTAATTGCTGCTTTATTGGGATATCCTTTTGTGCAATATTTTGGTTCATCCAGAATAAGTTTTAATAAGTGTGCACAACATTTGAAAAGATTAACTGGTGAACTGGGCTATTACAGTTCAATGATGATGATGGTGATGATAATTTTGGTGATGATGATGACGACGATGATGATGATGTTGAGAATGTTGATGATGATGTTGATGATGATAATAGTGGTGGTGATGATGTTGAAGATGATGATGACAATGATGGTGATGCTGATGATATGCTCAGTGGAAACCTTCTCAAGGAAAACTTGACATAAAGGCTAATGGTCAAATAAACTCTTCAATTCCTCTCCACATTTTTCAGGCGACTGGTCATCCCTTCTACCTCTTTGTAGGGAGTGATATAATGGATAGCATCGAGACGTACACAAAGGCAAAGTAAGTATCGGCATCACAGTATTAATGCAACCAAGCTTTATCATGTATGATGATCCTAGCTTTCAGGTTCATAAAACTTATCTTAGCTGAAAGTTTAGAAACTGTAGATTATGAGTGAAACTTTGATTCAGTCATTCAGGTAAATTTATCAGACCTCTTTCTCCATAACCAAAATAAACACATGACTTGATCCTTGAACATTATTACAGGATGATGCTGAAGTTATTTACATATATATCATTAAATTCAACAAGAAACTGTTTGTTTATCTGATTATCATCTGTTTAAAATAAAAAGATTGTAAATATTAGTAACCAAGTATTGCCCAAAGTCATCATGTTTAGTTTTACAGTTATGCTTGAAATGTATGACTGCATGTCATAACACCCCCCCCCCTCTAAAAAACAAAAACAATTTTGCCTCTTCTTTTTTAAAATCAGTTCCTTATTTTTGAATGACTTTTTTCAGATGCGGGTATGCAACTCTTCATAATGTTATCACCAAGACAAAAGAGGACAGAATGGAAAGTTTCTTCCTCAGTGAGACCTGCAAATACCTTTATTTGGTAAGTATAATATATGTATTTTCACATTAAATATCCAAAATAGCATAAGAATGCATGATTTATAGCTTGGAATCTCAAGTTTTATGTACCGGTGTGGGTATGTATGCATAGTGAAAGTAGACTTTGAAACTCATCTAAAAGCACTGGCAAAATATTGTTTTAATCTCCAAGCTCCAGAGCAAGTACTTGTTTGGAACATAAACCCCCTGGAGAATTTGTCCTTAATACTGTATACTGCAAAACAAGTAGTGAACCAAGTTGTCTTTTGTGACATCTGGAAAAATTCCTACAGGGGAGTAGGTCTCCAAGTTTCAATTATCAAGATAAGTTGATATCTGCTCATATTTTGTAGTGTGCTATATAACATGTAGAACAAAAAGAATGTATTCTGCAGTACTGGTATAATGAAATCACTATGTTAACCATGGTCTTCAATTTCTTTTTTGGTGTGATGACACCTCTCCCATTTCTATCTCTCTCTCTCTCTCTCTCTCCAGCTATTTGATAAAGATAACTATATCAACAGAGCAGCTTCAAAGTATATCTTCAACACAGAAGGCCATGTGCTTCCCATCAAGAGCCAGTATAGATCGAGAGATTGGTGGCAATATAATTCTGATACTTGTCTGTTCAACAGATCATGTGATAAAGGAAAGGAACAAAATAATACTGAGGTAAGATCATTCTTGACATGTTTGTATTTGAATTTCTGAAACAGTAGAAAATCAATTGAAGTAAATGAAATTTCAGGTATTTTCATCAAATTTATACAATAATGAAAACTTGATTGCTGTACATAGATGTTATATTTACCTGTGCTGAGGAAATAGTCTTCATGAAGTAGGATATTGAGAGGAAAGCTTTGGGCTTGTTATGTTAAGAATGAAACAGTGAAGAGATCATACCTCTTTTCAAAATCAGTGCACAAGTATACTTATTATTAGAAAATCACACCCAGAAGACATGATATTTGATGTTTTGAAAAAGTCTTGAAGCTTGCAATCAGTTGAAGCACTTGTGATCGTTCTGGATCAATCACAACTTTGTATAAGTTAGGGCTCAAACGCCATCTTGAACTTAGGGTAAAATACTTTCTCCAAAAATTTGATTGAATACTGAGGTTTGCTAAGTATGTTATCTATTAAAGCTGAGTAAAATACTCATTTTTCTGACATTTAAGTATTAACTTGAATACCAGCCCTGGTGTTTATACTAGTAGTTGAGAGAGATTAAAAAAAAAATTAAAAAAAATTATGTTGCAGCTTGTCACCTTAATTAACTACTTATCTTTTTATTTTCTTCTCTATCCCTTTCCCTGTCTACCCAGTGCATTGGTGTATCGAAGCATTCACTGCCTCTAGACATCTCCTACCTCGATCAGATTGATCATATGGTTGGATTATGACACAAACACAGCCCGCATGGTTTCTAGACTGCCTGCATCGCTAGACCTACCTGCCAGTACAGTTTGCTACTCAGAGTACAAAGTTTAGTACTGAATGTTACAACCCCTGGCATAGCAGTAAATCATTGAATGAGTAACCTACCTAACCATTGCACATAGTGAAAAGAGGAACAGCTGCATTATAATTATGTGCTATGGTATGAAATAGAAGTATAATAAGATAATTTAATCATTATTTTTTACAATTTTCATTTGATGGGAGATGTATTTCACAATGGGATAGATATCTGCTTTTTGAATAATTTATTACAAGATGGAGAGGCCTTTTAATTTGTGAATAGTTTGTTTACGGATGTTAATTATTTTAAGATTCAAGTGAGTGATGTGAGTTAGAGAGAGAGAGAGAGAATAATAATAATAATGAGAGAATGAGAGAGAGAGACAGATAGAGAGAACCCAATGAACCAAGTCTAAAGGTATTATACCGGCTGGGTGTACTACTTACTATTTTGTTGCCGATGTACAGGTTATCTGTGTATTCATCTCAAATCATATCAGTACATGAAAACTGTTGAATATTAAATCAACCATGATGTCATTGAGTAAATACTGCAATCATGTATGGATAAGATATGTCATGCAGTATATTGGTAACATAAAGAAAGCTTACATTTCATACCACATTGTGTGCCTTACACTCGTTTAGTGTAGCTTGCATTTGTAGCTGAATTGACACATGTGCAGGAATTTGGAAGTATGCATATGAATATATATAATGTGAAGGTGATAAAACAGTTCAGAGATATTAGGGTTGATTATGTAGTAGATAAGAATCATATGTTATTGCATTTCTGGGCCATAAAATTCTTATTGGAAACCATGGAAACAGAAAAATCCTGAAGTGAAGGAAATCTATTTTTTAAAACTCCCTTCACATTTTACCAGCTCTTCATTTCCTGGATTTGTGTATGTTAAATTCGTTCAAAAATATTGTAGGTCATCAATCATGTCATAAAGTCATGTCATGGTGTGTAAAATGATCGGAACTTTGAAATGGCATTGTCATGCATATACAGGATATTTAGAGGATATTAGAATAAATCAGCAGTTTATTAAATTTCAAAGATTTAATCAAGATAAACAGATGTAATGCTCGCCTAATTGGCAAGGCTTGTAATCATTTTAATTTGTATTATTAGGGTTGATATGGGTATTGATTCATGGAGCTATAAAATATGTGTATAAATGCAGGTAATTTATCAATTTATATCAGGCATGTTAATGTGATAACTTTGTTTTAACAGTGGAAGAGGAGTACATGTTTGTATAGTTTTTTTTAATGAAAATTCAAATGAATGTAGACCAAGTAGGCCAAGATTTCTTAGCTTTCAAAACTTTTACAACTCTCAAGAATTATACCTCAGTCACACTTTCAAACAGACTCCAAACCATCCAATTCTCTGACATTTGTGGCATTATAAATCATTTTTGTCTGTTTTGTTGGTTTGGCGTCAGTGTCGGCTGTGACTGAGGTATTAAGGGTTCAGCATCAAGATATCACCTGTAATTGTATTCATGGGCAAAGGAATGTTGCGCAGATTTTAGATATTGTTGTTAACGCTACATTACTAAGGTGACCCTATTGTCTTTGAAAAAAAAAAGCTGTGCGAACAGTGACACAACAGAATATAACGTGCCTTGTTCTTAAAAGCAATACTTGAGTATTATAATTTAAGGAAGAAACAAAGGTAAGATTTTTCTAAACCTTTGGAACTCTTTGTTAACTCGGTAATGGTGATATCACTTCAATAAACAATATGGTATGTGGACCACACCTTAAAATACTACGCAAGCCACTTTTAGTGTAGTCCAGAATCTGCACGGTCCTTTGTAATTTCCCTACACACTTAGCCGTCGAAGATGGCGTTATCAACAAACTCATAATTATGCTCACCAGCCCAGTCTGGCGTCCTAATTTAATGATCACGCCATCATCGGCTGGTAGCAAGTAAGTAGGGAGAGGTAGCGTTGGTGTGGTGGAGATCAAAATTAAATAGGCCAGATTCTGGACTACTTTTAGTGTAACACTACATGTATGTAGGATATGAACTTGAACTCACTTGGTAAATGTACTGGTAGGGTAGTGATAGGATAATATATATGTAGTCGAGCCTCATATGATCTGTTTAGAGGCAGAAGGATGTTAACCCATATACTGTAAAACACAGCTAATGCCCTTCTGGCTCTCAACAGATGATGATAAAAATTAATATAATGCATGTATGTGTTGTAAATATTGGAGCATGAGAAATTATATTTTTGCCTTTGGTCTTTTTATCTTTATGCATTTTGAGTGATACTATATACTATGTATATGAATGTTATGACTATCAGATACATGTATTCTTCATGGAACTTACAATTCATATCAGTTAATCAGAGAGTGTTCCTCTGCTATGATGTATTTGTACAGGGTTTGATCCCCAGTGTTAGCTCTTTGCAAGGATAGATCAGAGCCCTTATTTGTTTTTGGCTACTACAGAGATTTAGGAGGGTATACATGGACATGTAACACAGCGAGTTTACATCAACTTAAAAAGAAAGGAAAAGAATATTTGTAATATCTTCAGCTTCAATTTGTGTGTGCATCAAAACTGCCAAAAGATAATCTTATAATCCTTTAACATCGGGTCTAGGTGATATTTGCTGTTACATCAAAATCTATCGGGTTACTAAGAAGAGTGTTAGAAGAAATTCAAACTTGATGTAGCTCATCCACCCAACACGAAATAAACCGAGGTGGAAACAAGATTGTGCAATGAAGATAGCTGATAATGTTCTCTGCAACAAGAAGTTACTCAGTCAATTAAATTCATATTGGAAAGAAATTTGCCCAGATTGTGGTGCTCGTACAATAAATTTTATTGCACAGCTTCCAGGCATTTCTGAGCAAATTATTTTGGATAGTCAGTAATACCTGTGTTGTGCATGTGAATCATGGTGTCTAATTGAACTATGATTACTCTGATATATTTTCTGAAATTGAAATAAATGTATAATATAATGGAAAACAAGCATGTTAAATTGGTGTGTTTACAAAAGCAGTACATAAAGGAACATCAAATTTCATAATATATGGTAAGGAAATGATTTGATTTTCAAAGGTATACATGTAATAAAATATCAATGCAATACAATATACTACGTGTACGTGTTGTATTTGTCCCTCGTCTCTGAAAACAAGAACAAGCAACATCACAATTTTTCATTATTTCCTTGCTTTTATTGAGTTCTCCCAATACAGAAATGACTATTTACATGTGTATTGGATCATTAAAATATAAATGTCATACTGTATTCAACAACTTAATTTTCACAAATAAAATTAAAAATAAACTTTTCCAGCAAATACACCTCTACACACGTATACTTCATAATCTTCAATATTTCATAGTTCTCCAGTACTCTTTTGATCTGTGAAATCGACTGATAGGAATGACCGAGTGTAAACAAATATTTAGAAGAACTTGATGATTTGTCATCTAAAAGGTTAGGTTTCATTGGTTCAGGGGTGAAGTAAGAAATTCTCCTAGTGTAGGAAATAGGCCATGGCCTGGTGCAGTAATTGCTACAGGACAACCAATTTACATTATCCAAATAAAACCTAAAAATTTAGTGCAATTAAAAAAACATTTGTTTTACGCATTTGGATAAAGAGGGGGGAACTTGGACCGGGGGGGGGGGGGGGGGGGGGGGGGGGGTAAGTTTCCCTTCCATGCCAATGTTTCTGGGAAGAAAATTACATTTGCTTGAATATAACCTTGTCCCTCTACATAACACTGGACCTACATGTACTGCATGTACATGTACATGTTTATAATGTTAGCCCTGTACTAGACAATTAGAATTAAAGAAACTTTTTGTATATAATATACACAATATTGTTATACTAATATCATTCTATTTCCGAAAAAAATTATCTACCCAGTAGTCTTTTATTCAACCTAACATACCAATGACAAAATTACAATTTATAAAAAGCTTACTTTCATAAAATAATATCATGAAATCATTAAGACGTTATACTTCGATAAATTGTTTAGTTACTTATCCAAACAACATACCCTTTACAAAAATTAAGTGTATACCGGTATATATGTTTGTGTATGTATAGATATATGTTTATATATATAAATATATTTTCGAAATCAAAGTGCAGCTCGAGAGGCATAAATGGTCAATTACCGGTATGACTGAAATGCCTTCAAGTCCAATAAAAAAAATATTAAAAATACCCCTCTGTTATCTTCATTTAGTTTATTTTTCCAAAGAAATTTATTCCTTCCTTTTTGCAATTTGAGAATCAAATGGGTTTTTCTTACCCCATTCTTAGATATATAAAAGTCAAAATGACAATCTTTTTTTTTTTGCAGGCCACTGTCGATGAATACAATCAAGCTAAAAATAGATGGAATAACAGAAAAACATCCTTTGCAGTAACCATTATTGATCCTCGATCCACACTGTTTTGAGTAGCTATCCTTTGTTATTCAACATATTTTGGTCTAGCCTGAATTTTCTGTCTCTTTGGTACATTAAGCCTCTTATTTGGGTAGGGTCAGCTCCTCTAAAGAGAGGAGCCGACCCTACCTAAATAAGAGGCTTAAGGAACGAAAGAGACAGAAAATTTGGGCTAATTTTAGTCTACAAAGTAAAAACCTAGTTTTCTAACTAAGGACAGATATGAAAAAAGTGGTTCCAATTGATTCACTTCCCCTTTAACTAGGCCATACTTTGAATGTTTACTTACTGAAAAAATTTGATCATGTACCATAGTGCTTTGAATATCAGAATTTGTAGAAATCAAATCTCAAATTCCTTCACATAACTGAACTGTGATAAAGATATAAAATATGAAGTACATGTATTCTCAGTTTTTAATAATAAAAAAAAATATATATATCAATTAGAAATAAATACTAATTATATTTACACTTTCTGAGGCAATAAAACTTAATAAATTTGAATACCTTGTTATACAATTATATCAGTTTAGTCACTAATACGGCATAGGTAAATTAAAGGAACATACCAGTGTGTTGCTCCCACACTCATACATGTAAATGTAACAGTAATGAAAGTAATAAATCGTTCACATATACACTGTGTTGTAGCCTACTCGGCTACTCCATGTTGTTACTTCATTCATCACAATTGTAGGATACTCTATCAACCATTCATATTAAGCTTATATACGTTTCAGTATGATAACAAATGAGATGTATTTATTATCAACATGTAGCAGCAATGTTACTTGACTTCCCTTTCTTGTAAAAGTGTTGAATTGCAGAATAACACTTGATATTATAGTCTTTTCTTGAACTATAGTCTACTGACATAATGCTGGGAACTTTCCTCTTTAGTCTACCTTCATGAACATTGGAGTTCCTTGGCATGTTGGCGGATTCTTCACTTGTGGAGGCACATGGTTCATCTGCAACAATACCAGCATTGGTTGTCGCACTTCTGCCACAGTCACCAACTGTTTCATTGGTCTTACCCTTAGTTTTACTGCTACTTGGCAAGTTATCCCAAATATTAACAGAAGTTGGGTCTTCTTTAGGTTCCTTGACTACTATATACTTGCACAGACAAGACTTCCCAGACTGAGCATGGTTGCAAACATGATGTGACTTCTTCCCGGGAGATCGCCTTATCCACTCAGGCTTGTTGTAGAATGTTTCAGGACAAACCTGCCATTTTGGGGATTTTACTTTGGGCTCATTATCCTGGGTGTCCTTTTCAAGGTCAGGTTCCTGATCCCGGTCCTTGAATTTCTCAGTAACCTGCACAGATAGCTTGTCCTTCAATCTGTCAAGCTTATCAAATACGTCTGCAGTTTCAGAGCAAGTGCTCACATCCCAAATAGACTTTGCAACATCCTCCTCATTCTTATCTGCTTCCTCATCAAGCTCTGTTCCAACACAATCTTTGTAACAATCACTGTTGGTGCCGTTTCCTTTTGAGTTCTCTTCAGAGTCGCTGTCATCGTCATTTGCATCTTCAAACACAACACCTTTCGCAATCTTTGAAACACATCTCTCAAACGTTATGGACTGTCTTTTTCTAAGAGATGGTCTCATCACTTCCCCGGGCACTGACAGGTGGGAGTTCATGTATGTTTGTACAGAAGATGGAATGGTAACTAGAGTGGGTGGGGTTGGATCCAGATAGTGATCAAAGTTACTCATGTCGGCGAGGGCTGCTTCTGATGGTTTAGACGGCGGTGGTTGCACAATGGGAATGACCTTCCTGGGCCTAACCTGCGTCACAAACCGAATCAACTCATTGTATGAAGAATGACTAGAATACGGAATAATGAAGACACTGGGATGATTTGCGATGCGACTCCTACGTTGAGATCTAAAGATAGCTGATGGGATGATGACAATAGTTGGAAACTCACTATTCCACTGCTCTACTGCGCCATAGGTAATAGTGTGTACTGGTATAACCCTGATCCTTGCCTCAGAAGTGGTGAAGACATCTTTGCAATCCAGAAGCTCAATAATTGACATTCTTTCAGGGGTCACTTGAATCTTCTCTCCATAGAACTCTGCAATATCCATCAAGAGGTCTTCTTTTCCAAGCTGGTGCATACCAAGTACAACATTTGAGTAAGGGTAGTCGGCTAGAACTTCCATGATCTTTACCTTGCAATCATCTTCTCCTGGGAAGTTGTTTTCTGGACTGTTGTAGGTGTTGTCAAGGTACAGTCTATCCACTGGACGATTCAACCCAAGGACTGTGTTAGAAAACATACATGGATGGAAACGGAAATCCCCCGTGTAGAGGAAACGTCCAAAGTAACCTTCAAACAAGAATATGGTCGCACCAGGGCAGTGATTTGCATCGATAAGAGTGACAGTCATGGTTTCCTTGCCGGTCTCATCCAGTGGAATGATGTGCCCGTTTCCTACCGACAGGGTTTTGATGAGTGAATGCTTCACCCCACACTTGGCAACCGCGACCTTGCCTGTGACCTCTGAGCAGTAAATTGGATATCGCCATGTTGAAGAAAGACCGCTGGTGTGGTCAGAGTGGGCATGGGACAAGAAGAACACTTTGCTGGAAGGAGACTTATTGCGTCGCCAATAATCAACCGCTATCGGAGTACCTGTTATAACAGCTCCATTCATTGCTGTAAAGAGAAAATAAACAGGAATTTGAATTACTAATATAAAACCATGGTAAATCAACTGGTCTATAGACATCCCCCTCTGTAATTACTTCTTCTTCTTCTATTTTTTTTTTTTTTTGGGGGGGGGGGGGGGGGGGGGGGGTGACACAGCTTACAACTTACATGTTGTTACAGGCTGCATCAAAACAGTAATGACGACCGCCGTGTTGTTTTGGAATGAAACAAGATGGCGGCGGACGGACCATGTGCGCGAAAGTGCCTATCCAGCTCCAGTGTAGTCAAATTCAGTAAACTTATGAGTACATGCGTGTGACATGCAGCGCTGTGTACGGAGGCTAGGTGATAAGGCGGCATTCGCTTTAACCTTTTGATTGTTTACTGTAACGCCCTAAGAAACCGTAACTGTTGGCATCTCTGCAGGCATAGACCATTGATTTACATCAACTTAGTTAGCATAGATCGAGACTTCAAATTCAAGACTACATCAGCTGGGCTCTATCAGTAGGCTACATCATTACATGATTCATGTCAGCCATCAAATTAGATAGAAAATAAGTCAAACAATTCATCACTGACCACACTTTGTTTAAATGTTAGTATTGACCACATATGCATAAAGAACCACTACCGTTCAATAAATATTATATATCTCGTGAAATAGACTACCATTCATTCATTCTTTTCACAACCTGTCTCGACACACGTCACACAGCACACTTACTCATGCCCCAACCCGGACCCAATCCATCCAAGCATCCAAGCCCTGTCCCCGCGCCTCGGATCGGGAGGCTGGGCGCCCGCGTCGAGCCCCGAACTGGAGTGAATTGAAGGGCTTAAAATTATAATATTTCATCATTGTGCAAATAAAAATGCAAATTTACTTACCGAGTTTGGTTTGACAGACTTGTAGGTTGAGTTCTTCGTTTACATGAATATGAATTGTCTCTTACAACAAGGTTTAACAGCAACTTTGTTTACAATTATTGAAGCCAGGGCATATTGAACTTCGGCGCCGCGCGCTAACCCTTTACAAATATGCACTGGAGATGGCGCTATGCAATAAATTTTGCTCAAGAGAGAAAACCTCTCCAATGAAGGGGGGAAATTACAGAAAGATAGAACTAAACTGTGGTAAAGATGAAATATAAGGGTGAGAAAACTTCTAAAGTTATTTAGAATTAATTGTATTCTATAAGTTCAGATGTATTGATTTAATCCGAAATAATAACAGTCCCAGCAGCCGCGGTCCTGGATACGTGGGTGGATGGAGGCATAGTCCCCCCACTTTTTCGAGTACCCACAATTTTACTTCAGATACTGCTACTATTTTTTGTTGTTGTAAGTGCCCCTTCATCTTTTCTTATGTGCCCCTTTTAACCATTGATAAATGCCCCTATCCAAATCTTACATTTTTTCCTTTTATTCTGACAAGTAAATACCCTTACAAAAAAAATGCCTCTTACCCCTTATTATATGAGATGAGCGGCCCTTTTGGCAGAAGTACCAGGAGCCGGGGGGGGGGGGGGGTAGGTGCACAATGCCCCAAATTACCTTAGACTTGTGTCGCTTTTAGAAGTATGTTCTTGCTCATTTTCAACGTTATCAAATACATGTATTCCTTCTCTAGATAAGCCATTAGAATATAAGAAGTGTTCTCTTTTACCCTAACATAATTATGCTCCTAATTTAAAGCGACTGAGAGCAATATTTCTCCAAAATTTACCCCAAAGCTTGTTCGATACGACCGCTCCCATACATTTATGTTAAGTAAAATATTAAAGGTCTTATTCATTCTTTCATTATGAGATTGTGCTTTAAACCCCATCAGGATTTGTGATTTCATTTAATAATAAGATCTAATCAATCGCAATTCAACTTCACAATTCTTAGCAGTTTCGCTCGCTCGTTCGCTCGTAAGTAAATCTTGAGACCATCTTTCACAACGGCAAAGCATGGTGCTGCAGCAATTTCTTGGATCATATAAAGAGAAAATCATGAAGATCGCTCCTGATGATTTATTGATTACGATGTAGGGGTATATACCGATGTATATTTTAAACATCGCCTTGAGGTTACCACTTGTAGGTGCTCACCCCCCTCAAAACAAAACAAACAAAAAACAAAAAAAAACTTTTTGTTGGTGCCCCCCACTTTAAAAGACGTTGTGCCACCCCTGGACAGCTCCAATCTTTACCACATGGCGGATCCACATGAGCAAAAAAAAAAATGGAGTAACCTCACTAGTCGTCAGGACCTTAATCATAAGGACCTTTATTCATAAGGACCTTTATTCATAAGGACCACTATTCGTAAGGACCTCTATTCATTAAGACCGATATTCTTAATTTGAGAAAAGGGTCATTATTCATAAGGGTCATCAATCATAAGGACTGATATTCATAATCGAAGAAGAGGGTCGCTATTCATAATTAATTTGGGGGTCATTACTAGTAAGGACCGCTATTCATAATACGAAATGAGGGTCACTTTTCATGATAAGCACATTACTTCTCGTGTTATGAATAGAGACGCCTATGAATAACGACTCCGATTTTGTATAATGAATAGCGACCCTCTTCTTTGATTATATAATAGCGGTCCTTACGAATAATGGCCCTTTTCTCAAATTACGAATAGCGGTCCTTATGAATGGCGAGCGGATCCCTTTAAAAAATGCCCCTTCTCTCCATCGGATAATCGGCAATTACAATTGGAGAGAGAGGATTTAAAAGCCCATTTTTGTTTAGGGGGAGTTGTACATACCCTTAATTTGTGTCTCTCCAGTGATGAAAAAAGGCTCGTCAAAATGTTAAGAAATGTTGTATTATGATTTTCGTCCGCCTCATACGCCCTTAATGCCACGTTGCCATTTATCACAAAATGAGCTGTTATGTTTCAATAAATCATTTTAATGCAGGCTTATGTTGTGTTTATACATGTAACTGCTTACAAAAAGTTCGGCCTTGTATCAAATGTGTGTAATAAAGAAGAAGGAAGGAATTAATTTTTTTATTGATATCATCCATACAAGGAAGATTCGTTATTGATTCATTTCTCTAATCATCAACAACGAATTAACCTTCTTCTTTTCATGTCAATGTCATTGCTCTTGCCCCTATCTCGGGATAAAATAGGAACATAATCACATCAATGCGTTTTCAATGTTTTATAATGCCTTTATTTTGGAAATGTTTAAATACGATCCTCACATTTCATTCCATTTTTTAATTTTTTTTTAATTTTGGTTCACGGAAGCAATCGCGTACTTAATAAATAAATAAATTTGTTCATACCTTTTGAAAATTTGAAGTTTTGTGTATGGGTGTTTTGCTTAACTCTCGAATGATAGAAGGGTTGGTTGAATTAGGGCCTTTGTTGAATACTTTTAGATGTAAGCTTTAAATATGTCACATTCTTAAGAAACATAAACCGGGACATTTCAAAATCAAATTATAATATACTTAGAAAATTACAAAACTTGGCAAGGATATGAATAATTACATTTTTTAAACTGTAATATAAAGGGACACGGAGGGTGATCGAACAATGGGGAAAGGGGAGAGAAAAAGAAAGAGAGAACGAGAAAGGAACATGGAAAATAGATGACAGGCCCCCATTCCATGACCCTCAGTCGGTGGCCTTGTTTATTTAACTTCCATCTACCTATTGAGACCACCCCTTTCCCTGCAAGCGCTCCCTTCATGGCTAGGCAACGATTCGTTACTGTCGCCAATAAATTTTGAATATTTTGTTATAACCTCTTTTTATGAGATGATTGTGACAATATCGTTAACTTTTTGACACATAATGCTTATATCTTTTCAGAACCTTATTGATCAATCTCCATGACTCTAGATTGATCAATAAAGTTCTGACAAATTATAAACTTTATCTATCAAAAATAACCATATTGTCAAAATCATTTTATGTATAGGTAAACAAATATTCCAAATTTATGTATAGTATTACCTGGTATTATTATGTATTATGTACAGTCCCGGTGCGGTTTTTTATGGACCAGTGGACCTGAGATTTAAAAAACTAAAAAACTATGATTTTTGAAGAGTACGAATTCACAAATAGTAAAAAAGAAGAAAAAAAGTGAGAGGCATAAATATTCTAAAAAAGAATGAAACGCCGATAATACCAAACAACAACAACATCACACACATAGATTGCTGTAAAAGAACACACAGAAATGCAAGGTGTTTTTCCATAAAATATTAAGTTTTTAATAAATTCAGTTGTGAACACCTGCACAAATTATTTTCTATGTACACTATTGCACCTATTTTCGAACCCTGTACACATCTATACTGTGTATTGGATATATAGAATTTCAATGATATAATAATTGTGCAATATTTAAGGTGATCTTTGTAACAGAACACAGCAACAACCACCATTCTTCTTTTATATTGTCTCTTACTAGATATTGGATTTTAAAGAAATCCCAAATGAAAAATAGTCAAGATAGACAAAGAGAGCGACCCGACAGACACAATTTTTTTCAACCAAATTTGATTATGCCTGACAATCAAAGTATTAAAAAGAAACAAAATATATCCTAATCATTATTAAGAGGCAGACGGAGACAGAGAAGTGGATAGAATGAGAAAAATGACAAACATAATGACAAATAGAAAATGAACATGAAGAAATGACTGAAATATGGAAACACATAATGAAAGATAGAGAAAGAAGAGAGAAGATGCAGCCTCATATTGTGTGCCCTTTTTACATTTATACGTTTGCCCTTTTCAACTACCACGACGATCTACTCAACTACTGAAAGTGGCATCTTCGAACCTGTAATCCCTTTAAACTCCACGCTCTTTTGAATTTCACAGAATGCCAAGGTATCCATTACCCTTTGTTCAAGAATTTAAAGGTGTAGACAAAGAAGGAGTTTTCAAATTCTCATCTCCTCCCAAATAGTAGATTTCGTATGAAATCCCTAACATGTGCTCCTAAAGCGACCGGGAACAATATTTTTCTAAAATTTACCAAAAAAAACTTGCTCGCTATATGTTTACTCATGAACCCCTCTGGAAGAGGCCACAGACCCAAAACACCGAAATTGCCGGTCTCATTTGCTGTCGGTCTTGTGAACCCTGAAAAGTGGTTAGAAAGCCCTCCTCAAAGTGTCGTTCATTAAATTGTTATTGCGCTGTCAGATTATCTCTTTGAGAAAAAAAATATGGTTAGAATGATTTGACTTTACTAAATGCTTTGCCTGTTTATCGTATATTCAAGGCTTGGGAGATTCCACTGAAAAGTGGCATGGACCTGTATTTTTGAATCATTGCTGACATTAGATGAGAAATACATATTCTACCTTTAACGGGGTGGTTAAATTCATAAAATCTCCACGTTTGAAAAAAAACATCAATTCTGGAACAATCGAAAGTGAGCAACGTCTATATTGAATAAACACCTCTGCTTCAAGGGCTTTGTAATTACCTATTTTAATCCAATATTTTACGTGGATACAAGCAGAAATGACACAATTTTTCATTTCTATTTTGCCAAGAAGATCGCAAAGACTTACAAGAAAATCAATAGTCTACTAGGATTGTATTGCCTAGCCTATACAGTATCGAAATCAAGTTCGGATTATGGCACGTGACATTGTAATGTTTACTTTTCTATGATTCTATGATGCATATACCTTCTCCATCATTCCATGCTCTTTCTCTCTCTGTCTCTCGTTCTCTCTTTCTCTCTCTCTCTCTCTCCCTACCCCTCTCTCTCTCTTTCTCTCCCTACCTCTCTCTCTCTCTCCCCCTCTCTATTTATCTCTCTCTCTCTCTCTCTCTCCCTCCTCTCCCCTCTCTCTCTTTATTTCTCTCTGTCTCTCTCTCTCTCCTCCCCCTCTCTCTCTCTCTTATCATTTTTTCATAATTTCGAAAACAACACATGTATTTGTTCATAGGCGTACGGGCCACCCTAATTTCGCTAAATGGGAAGGGGAGGGGGTGAGGGCTAGCGTCTCTGAGTATAATTTCCATTTTCTAAAATTATGACGGACAATATTCCACAGTTTAAACATGATAAAGATGAATCATTATATAGAACTTCGTAGAAATGAATACATAGTAAGGTCAAATACATCGAGTATTGTAAACGTATACAGGGGGGGTGTTTCACAAAGATCCTAAGTCGAGCTTAACTCTAAGTTGGACTTAAACATTATGGAGAGCCATTTGTAGACCTAAAAAATATATTCAAAAGCAACAACTTATTTTTTTTTAGACTTTTCATAAATTCCACATCAAGAACATGAAATCTCCTTAATTGATGATAAACAATATGAATGATGTTAATCAACATTGTATGCCTTTTAAAATAACTTTTACATGATATTTTCATAGAAGCTAACGTCCTCCCATAATTGTTAAGTCCAACTTAGAGATAAGTTCAACTTCGGATCTTTGTGAATCACCCCCCTGGTGCTTGAAGACTGTGTCAATTAATATATTTGATTTTCTAATCAAGTGCTATTCTTTCCTTTCAGAATAAACCTAAATAATCTTCAGATTTAACAAAAACAATTTCAGCGATGTAACCAACATTTTCTAATGGCAAGTTAAGCATGTGACATGTTATCTCAACATTCATTTAATTGCACTATTTAACATTTAAATCAATTTAGTTCAGTTTTTTAGGCTTACTATACATAATAACATATTAATTTTGTTCATGGTTTGATTTATTTAAAAAAAAAAGACTATTATTAAAGGAGAGAGGTATTTATGAGAATTCTAATATCATAATATCCTAAAAACTAGGGGGCTATTTTAAAGACATTCCATTTCTGTCGCTTCTCTTGCTTCCAATAACTTTTGAAATGATCTACTAATGAAATAGTATCTTCCAGATAGCCAATTATATCATTGTCCCAAAATCATAAAAACTAGGGGGCTATTTTAAAGACATAATTCCAATTCTGTCACTTCTCTGCTTCCAATAATTTGTGAAATGATCTACTAAATAATGAAACAGTACCTTCCAGATAGCCATTTATATCATTGTCCCAACACCATAAATGTCTACAGCGAAGGAAAATACTCATTTATACATATCTCAAGTGATACTTCGTGGAACTCGCCAAGTAAAATCAATGAAACTCACTTTTATTGCCTCGCTTCTTCAATTCAGTATTATACAACGCGGTATTTTAGAAAATCACTGTAACCCACTCAAAACAATTATTCTGTCATTGTATGATGTCAAAACATCGCGGCGTGATATCTTCCAAAGCAAAGCGTATACTTAGAATGTAGTATAAATTCCATTTCATAATAGAAAGTACACTCGTACACACAGTTACATTAACAAACTGCTTGTTTATTAAAGACAGCACAAACCTTGGGCCCATATAAAAATAATGTATCTGTGTCTGTATCCAGTTACTCAATGGAGAAAGAGAGCGGGATATTGAGAAAGAAGGAGGAAATAGGTGGACAATTTGATGAGAATTATAAAGAAAGAGAATAAATATCCTATTCGTGCCACATAAAAGAAAACACAGAGGAAGAAGGAAGAGAAAGTCGAGCACAGAAAGTGGTACATGTACGGAGACCCTTTTAATAAAAATGAGCGAGATAAAAACCTGTTGTGTGATTGAGGTATCAATGGGAAACAAATATCAAGTAGTTGCTATGTTTAAATGTTTGCCGCACATTCTTTTCTTTCTTAGAAAGTTGACACAACTCTTAATCAAATCTGTGTTTAGACGAGTAATGTTCCAAGGCTTGAGCGAGAAGAATTATTCAACTCTGTCATCTAATTTTGATAAGTGTACAGAGTAAATTACGATATTTTGAATGTTAAATGTGGTTCTTCTACGCCAAAGCACTCATTATCGTAAAGATGAATGGTTACATAAAATCGTTTCATTGGTTCTTGATCATTGCTACTGGCAGCTGCAAAAAAAATGATTATTTCTGATAAAAAACATTCATTTATTATTCAGAAGAAAAAGTGACACTGTTGTCATTGGTAATTAACATTGACACTATTGTACATGACTGTTATGTATGTGTAATGGCAAAGTCGATAACATGTTATTAAATTAACTGAAGTAAAATGACAACATACTTCAATTATATTTTTGTATAATTAAATTGATATCAATAAAAGCATAATAATTTTCCAACCGAAGAAACAGTGATGTAGCTACATGGGGGGGGGGGGGGGCAGGGCCCCCATTCGAGTGGTAAACAAAAGTAAGCAATGAGGAAAAGAAAAAGGAAGAAGGCGAAAAGGACGAGAAAAGAGGAAGCTTTGATCACGTCCTGCACACTCCCCTTAATCAGGAGCCTTGTAAATTCACATTATTTTCATTTCCCGGGTAAGACCGCTGCCCCCTCCCCCATCGTTCCAGTGCCCCTTCAATAGGGGCACTAACGCTACGCCACTGCAATAAAACATGTGGAAATTGATAAAAGCCAACACAAAATAAACCCAATACTGATTCGAATTGTATCGTAGTAAAGTTTCAGTCCTAATTCGTGGGGAAATGAAAATAAGCAATTTGAATTCGTTGAAATTAAGTACGTTGTGCCATATTTAGTCCCCAAAGTAAGAGTAAAATATAGCAACATATTGATACCACTGTAATGAGTTCATCGTTATCATTTTAAACCAGTGATAAAATTCATCTTTTATGAAAATATAGAACATGAACACCGTGTTATTCTTACATCAAACAAGATTGATGAGACTTGAAACAAGAGAGGAAATAAACATAGTCCCAGTTTCATTCTACCGTTTTTTCAACCACGGCAAAGGAAAGCCCCTTCCCTCGTAGAAAGAACAATGTACAGATCAATGACACAATGACGATTGTTGACTTGAGAAAGTGCGATTGTTTAAAGACCCCTCAAGATGATGCAAGTTTGAAGGTCTCTGCTGCACTGGATTTCACAGGCTAATCACTTTAGTTTATACCACAGGTGCCCTGCCTGTAAGGTACAGCGTTTTTTTCTCAAATATTTTGTGCAATGTTCACACGTCAGTGTGAACACGACTGGAGAAGACGTTCGCATTGCTGCCTTGTGATCTGATCTTCCAATCCTCGCTGTGATTACATATCCGGCGATTGAAATACGCGAAACCATATACCTCGAATTGATTATCCTCTGCGCTGCTGTCTGCAATTGCAGGGGATTTATGCTTGTAGAATTATTCCGAATGGCATAAACACGTAGGATCTTAGTTACCGGATTGTGAGTCGCTGAAGACGTACCCTGGAGATGGTATCCTTTATGTATCACACGCTCAGCGAATTAAGATGGCAAATTGAAGAATATCTTGTCAAGATAGATCTATTCGGGAATCGTTGGTCATGATGGTATCACCCGGATATAAAAGATGTAGGATCTTTTCGTGGGTAGACTTAAAACAGAGGGATATTCGTCAAAAAGAAATGGGCTCATTTTTACTTTAAACCGAACAACTCCTTTTATACGTTGATTTTATAATATGTCATGATCAGCAGTAAACAAATGGAATCTACAAATCACATGTGTGCCATTTCCTTTTCTGCTAGTCAGTTGACATCAATTTATCCAAATATTTTGATGTCCACTACTGTTTCCTCTGCAGAATGTGTTACCAGATGATAGAAAGTATGGAATTCCGATTAGAACATCGTTAAGTGGTTGTACAGGCACCGCAATAATCATGTCTTCCAATTTGAAACACTGACCAGATTGGAGGACAGTGTTACCATAAACATGCTTCGATTTACGACAGATCGATTCTTTAAAATCATACGTTGTTTGGTTAAAATTAATATAAATGTAGTAAAGACTCTATCAGATGTTGCATTATCATTCCAAAATTCCTTCCGAGATTCCTTGGAGATGACTTTGTTGAGAGAATACATCCGGGGACCGGTAATTCGCACGGAAAATTCAAACCTTGCTATTATTTTCCCGCCTAAACACAAAGGCAACCATTATACGACGTCATAGTTTTTCCAGAGTGAGTAAATGTTCTCACGTTTTAGCGACATGTCTTTTTGTCTTTTGATTTCAATTTCACTCTTTAAAGTGTCTGATTCATACACTGGTTAATGAATATTCGATTGGTTCAATAGTCTTTGGTCAGAAATGAAAGCATGGTTGTGTCAGACGTCTGTTGACGGCAAGTCCTGTCTGTTGAGATGCGTTTGTTCATCATCAGAACCTGAACCAGCGGCTTTGAAGTCAAACTCTGGAACAAATAAACACAGGAAGAGGAAAGGCTAAATCATAAAAGCGTAAGCATAAGAATAAGCCTATAAAACTAAGCATATTATATAAGTATTAAGACATGCATTCATTAACAATTTGATCTGCCATCGAGGCAAAACAGTGGAGCAGAGAACAACATGGGCTGATTACTGATAAAGAGTCTCTAAGAATAATTGGGTAAAAACCCAACATGCTCGATGATGAAAGATTGTACATGCATTTTTGTTATTTTGTGAATGTCAACATGCCTCGGGGATTTTGTTTTCACGGAAAGACCAGAAATATGGCCAATTCAAAAACATTTGTGGGAAAAGAAGATGGTTTATGCAGAAGTTTGACTCAAACATTGTATTGAATCGGCGTCCGGCATAATATTTTGCACTGGAGTGATGCTCAAATTCCATCTTCTAATTGGTTATATCATGAATGAATGTAATACGACGCGTCTTACAGAAAGGTTTTGGGAACAACATGCTGATTGTATTTCAAGATTTGATTGTGATTCGTTAGTCCCATTGCAGAGTAGTGAAGAGTGGTATCATAACGGATCTGTGCAATTGATTATAGTGATATTTATCATTTGATTGTATCTTAGGCATATGTCATGCACGCCATAAAAGCGAGATAGAGTACATGCTTTTTGCATACTATGATAAAGATCATGCTAAACCAACAAAGATGCCTTCTAAAAAGGAAAATAAAATGTGAATAAAACGTAAAGCCCCTACAGTTCATCAGAACCTGTTATGTCGCTTAATGGGATCCATGGTAGTGTATACCTGACAGTAGTTGCTTTCGAAATTATATTGCAGGATTATGAACCGGAAGTGAAGTGCAACACGGGAATGTAATCTTTGCGGAACTTGTTCTCCGTACACTGTCTTGCCAAGATCAAATGTTGCCATGGTATAGAAAAACACGTTACATATGACCACATAGTGTCCTTTCAATATTCCTTCAGTTTAGTGGTGCTGTGAAATGTGAAATTGCAACAGATTTTGCTCCAATTGGCCTAATGACCATTGCATGTGCACACGGAAAGGTGATTCAGGCCAGCGAACATCAGTGTGAGGATGTGTGCTCCTCTCTCGCCATTACCACACCTAGATCTTGGTGGAGTATGCTACCAGACACACAAAACTAATTCTGAGACCGAATACTGTGAGGTGCATTACCTATACCTGATGAAGTTGTGTTGGATGTTGGCGCCGTGGTCAGAACAGGGCGTGTCTTCATCTCGCCATTGGGTCTACACGTGTTTTCTGCTGACCCACAGGCCGAACGGACGCGACTGTTCATCACCATGGTACCAGTTGGCTTCTTGTTTTTATGAGGAGCCAGGACCACGATGTAAACCTTGGGCGCGAATATGCAGCCGAGAGTCACAATGGCGCTAATTATGATGGACAGGCACAGGAGCATTTGTTGAATCTAGAGTTTGAAAAGACAGAGAGATCATGAGGACGTTACTGGACTTTGACACACTCACTTTTCATAAACATAGTCATTCAATTTTGTAACTGTTTATCTGTTCTGTCCCTCGAAACTTACTAGTCATTTGAATCACTTTATTTAAAAAAAGAACATATCGAGGGAAAACATGAGACATGCTATACGATTCTATTAAACAAAATACAAAAATCGTGCTCAATATCCAATAGAATAATAACTATAAAAAAGGGTATGCTTTTTTGCTGTTATCTCTTCCACATGTCCAAGGTCACACATCTACGAAAGTGGTTACTCATTATTTATTGCTTATAACTTTAAGAGATTCAATGTATAATAAGCTTTTGTTTAAAAAATAATCAACCAAAAAAAAAATGATGTCATTATTTCATAATTATCCAGGAATCTCTTGCAAAGCAGGCTTGTATGTTCTGAAGAGAATAACTTGCATACAAAAACACAGAATAAATAAAATTCACTTCTGACAAAGTTTTTATTTTTTCTTGTTTCATTTTTCAGAGCAGTTCAGGGGGACATTTTCCACGTAACATGACAACCAGACTAATAATACTCAGTTTTCATCTGAACTTTTTAGAGGCGTCAAAGTCATTTGCATGCCGAGCGGAGAGTCGGTTTCGCAAAACAAAAATAAAATAGAGTAGAATCATTCGCACAGATTTATGATGCTATGTCTTATTTTGTATTCCCGTAGGGTTCTAAGAAATAGAATGACGTACAGCCAGCTACTTTAACTTTTTCTTTGTCGCTTGTGGTTTTATTTTTCTCCTTGCTCTAGAAATAGTTCGTAAAGCACGCACCAAACAGAATATCACACCCTTATAATGAAGTTGTGGTTAGTACATGTATATGTAACAATAACTTTGTAGAATGCATTGTACTGGGATCTTCTAGTGATAGTCGTAAGATGGTGCAATTCCCTGCTGGAATATATCTTTTTAAACTGGCATCTTCCAAATTGCATTACGATGTGCGAGACAGAATATGGTGTAAACAGTCATGAACTCGGAATTTGGAATATATAGGGAAGTTTATCAAATGATATTGTTTTCCTCTGGGAATGCTAACTCATTCTTTATCATCATTGGCTCTCAATATACCACGTGATGTGTCACATGGGGAAGAGCAAATGGGAAGAAGAGCGGCAAGAGTACAATATCGGAGAGGTAAATGGATCAAATTTTGCATACATAATGTTTACTCTTTTCTTACTACTCATGTATCTCAGAAGATGATTATTTGTATTCATAACAGAACTCATACAAGTAAAGATCGGCCAAGGTTTATCCCAATTTTTATTGATCAAAATCATCATGATAAAACCTTCCTAATTATGCTACTCAGTCGACTTTACAAACAATCCCCTAAGATGTCAATGCTCTTAAAGTATAGGTATTCAAATAGATAATCCAAAATATGAAGATCATCTTCATTTTTAAATCATGGTGGATTCAACTTCTATCAATGGTGATCGTGTTGTATTATATACTTACCTTATAATCTGTTGCCGAAGTACCAAGATAAATTGGAATAAAGGCCGACCACATGATGCACGTCGTGTACATTGTAAAAGCGATAAATTTGGCTTCATTAAAATTTTCTGGCATTTTACGAGTCATGAAGGCATATAACGTGCATAAAAGTACTAGAAGCATTGCATACGCTAACGAGAGAGAAGTTGCAAAGTCTGTGACACTACAGTCGAGTATGACTTTGCTCCGAGAAGGATAGTGTTTTTCAGTTTGCGGCGGAACGAGTACCAACCACACGACCACACCGATCACCTGTACTGAAACCAAAAGCGAGCAGATGACCAACTGGGAGCGAGGACTGGTATAGCGTGGTCTCTTGACGGAACGCTTGCCGCTGTTGAATATTCTGTAGACGCGGTTTGTTTTGGTAAAGAGCGCGGAATAGGAGATGACGACAGAGAGTCCCAGGATGATGCGACGGAGACAGCAGGTGAAGGTGGATGGTCGAGAGATGATAGTGAAAGGTGTGATGAAGGTGAGGAGGATACCGACAAGGAGTACGTAGCACAGCTCTCGACCTGATGCTCGTATTACAGGTGTGTCGTTGTAATAGACGAACACCGCGATGACGTAGAGGGTGGAGAGGATCCCAAGAATAGACATGACCACGGGAACGATGGCCCAGGGCGACGACCAGTGCAGATACTCTATAAAAATATCATCACATCCTGTACGGTTCTCATCGGGAAGGGTACCCTGGGTGCAGTTCCTACACGTCCATTCGTCGTGACGGTACTGCTGATACTCGCATTTGGTACAGACCCAACAACATTCGTCGCCCTCACGCTTTTTCCTGATGTGGCCATGGGCGCAGGGCAAAGAACACACAGACGCTGGTATCATGTTATTTGGTGATTTCTCTCCCCATCTCAGATCGCTCGTTTTAAGTGTGAGGTTTCCGCTTCTCCATGATCCAATTGGCACGTATTTGTAATTATTTTTTATTCTTTGGTACTGGTACAAATCGTAGCTCCCGGGTCTGTCACCATCTTTGTTGAATCGTACCTCGCCACTGCTACCTGCAAGAAAACCAGTATTACATGGTTGATGAAACATGGCACACTACGTTATCAAATACTCTTGTTTTATATAATGTCAAAAGAAGAAACATTTGGACTTCACGCAACGGTAACATTTTGATTATCAGCACTAACAGAGGCGGATCCAGAGGAAGGGGAAACATATGATATGTGCCCACTGGTTTTAAAAAAAGAAGAAGCTTGTTTATTCTTTTCTGTTTCGATCTAGAGGATCTTTCGTCCTTTGACTTCGGTCAAAATCACCTGAAAGTCCCCAACTACTTCATCGTCAAAGGAGAGATCAATAGTGGATCTAGGATTTTTTTTTGTCGTGGAGGGGGGGGGGGGGGGGGGGGGGGAGGAGGGGACTCAATGTCCACAAACACATAAATTATAAACACACAATGTTATCGAACTTGGCTAGGATTCACATACCGACAGCCTGTGTCTCCCTTTCCCTGCCACTGGTAATACCTTAAATATGCTATTACAAATCTCATATCTTTATGATATAGTTTTGATGATTTTGAAATGAATGTAATATGTAGCCGTGATACGTAACATCCAATCTAGAATATGGTTCAACTACCGCAATTGCTGCTCTTCCTGCACATCAATAGTTGTGACTGCAGCTTTATTAATCAGCAAGTCTAATTTCTGATATGTCCATCTTATCAATGAAGATTTGAAACGTCGAACATTCGCATCTGGACAGTTCAAATTGAATCAGGGATCTCACTTGCGGGGAACAAACTCACCAATTTGTATCGATGGCAATCAATGGACATACTTACGTCACAGGGTACTAACAGTAGAGTCGTATCAGATAAACAAAGTATGAATATATACGAAAAGCATAAACGGTGCTGCAACAACTACAAAGGATTTAACCGAATTCCTAGCTTCAATCATGGACAAAACTATATACCTAGTCCTAACCCTATACATAACCTGAAAGGGAAAAGCAACCCTCATCTTAACCTTAAATCTTATATTCGACTCCCTGTCCCCACTTTTCATTTCACCATTTAACTGTTTTACGGGAATGTGAGATAAAAGATTTAATTCAGTTCTGGCCATGTGATTCCAATGTGAAAGAAACTGTCAGGAGGCGTTTGGAAAAGGTTAATTTTACAGCGCATAAAAATGGACATATATCAAAGATGGTATTAAATTGACTTTGTCTTGTCGAAAATAACATACACTGTACACAAAAGGAACTGCACAAAGATATGGCATGGAAGATTGGGCCAAACACTGTAGATATTTCTTGTCATATTTCAAATATTAGAGTATTTTAAGAGCTTCCCTTTTCAGGAGATGCTTTCCCTTTAACATTCCTCCAAACTAACATTTAAACAAAATTAAAAGCTCACAACTTATTTTTATCTTTCTGAATACTCGATTTTCTCTTTAAGTTCAAGTCAGGTGGCCAGATCTGAGAGATGAATGTTCTAGATTATCACCTCGATCTTCATTGCAGATTGGAGTGAGTCACTTAACTTGATTTCACCTAACGTGAGAACATATCTGGGAACCAGATTTCTAATCAGATGACTTTTAAAGGGCATGACTTGAAAATGTTATTTTATAACATTCCATTAGTACTATACCATAGTCCAGTCGAATTCCGAAGTAGTTGCCTGCAATGAGGCTATTTTTTTTCTCCTACGGCGTAAGTATGATAGGGGGAATAGTTGCAGTGATGCCATAAAATTGAGCACTATTATAATATTGAACAGGGGAGATGATAGAGTAAATGTCAAATTGTGTCACTTTGTATAGTACTGATTAAAACATTGACAATGAGACTTGTAAAAATTGTCTAGTCCAATATTTATGCCATGAAAATGATTCTATACACCCTCACTTGCATTGACAGAGCACGAGATAATTCATATAAATGGCATATGGGAGGGGGAAGGAGGAAAGACAGTGGCTTCCCATTTTTGAGGGCGCGCTAGTCCTCGTTCGCCTTTATCGACACCAATCCCGGCACCAATCACCCTTCCCTCTTCTCCTTTCATCCTTGTTCTGCCTATAGGTATGATGGAGTACGCCCAGGGATGGGTAGATTACGCGGGAAAGCGGCAGATGTTGTAAATCTATCTTGAAACTCGACAATACCTTTGAAGGCTACCTCTTTGAGATAGTCGAGATACATCTTGCCGTCAACACCTTGGGTCACCGCACTACACATCCCGTCCGTACCGTTACACAGATCCCGTTGCATCCTGTGTAGGGCGTGGGCCAGTGCGTAGGTGGCGTCGATGACAAACGCCACCTTACCCTCCTGCTCGTAAACCTCGGGCGTGAAAACCTCCATTCCTGAAGAAGAATTATAAAAAAAACACCCAAGAGATACATATTTTAAATATCTGTCTACATACTACATAATTATATAAAGAACATTTTTCTTTGTGAAGCTAATTTACAAAATTAATCTCAAAAGTTGTAAAAATGTCTTTTTAGCTTGAAAACAATCCAATCATGATGATGGAGCACCAAAATGAAAGTGTACGGATCTATTACAATGAATATTCTTTGCATTAACATGATTGATAACATTTCACTTTCTTCAATACTACATAATTGTAATTATGAAGAACATTTTCTTTTGTGAAGTTTATTTATACAATTAATCTCACAAGTTGTAAAAGCGTCTTTTTCATTTGACAACATCATAACCAATTAAATTATAGGATGGAACACCAAAACGAAAGTGTAGAAATCCATTATGATAAACAGTTTTGGGGAAAAGGTTATTGTACGACAGAGTCCTCAATATTATGAAATAAATTATATTTTCAGTCACATTTGGCAATTTATTCAGACATACATAAAAAGTGCATAAATTCGACTTCGACTTTTTTGAAGTGTTCATGATATTAAGAGAAGAAGTCACCTGTAATTGAAATTGACAGAAGATAATAATGTAAGAAATTGAGCTTCAAAAATGTTCTCGAATCATGATTGATGATATCAAAATAAATTGCACCGCCATTAAATTACTGACTCTTCTTCGTTATTTTGGTAATATGGCAAGGCTTGGATCAATATTTGAAAATACAAAAAAAAAACTGATTTGTTTTTGTCCAGTTGTAACATTTGGTAGGATGCATGGTAGCTACCCCGAGGACAGGTAATATGCAGAATTATATCAAGTGTATTGCCTTTAAAGTTGGTTGTATGGGAACGGACGGGCATCCCGCATGATGCGATCCTTGGCTACAAGTACTGTCTTCCGGATCATTAATCAAGCTGATAAATGGCGCTAAAATATGGGAGGAATGCAGGTTAGCTAGAGATGCCCAATTTGAGTTCGAAACGTACCAATTAATGGCCCCCTTCTCAGAAGAAGAATCACTTTGTTCCTCTCCTTCACTTTAAATGGCTGTTTCTTCGAGTGCCCATGGCCAAGTCTCTAAACTTTCCATGCAAAGTATCAGCAGAAATATATAAACTTCTTTGAAGCTATTTTTTTTTGGAACCCATCTCCAATTATCAAAGTTGTAACATAACACACGTTCGTAATTTCGGAGAGATTAGGAGAGTGCTCAATATAATGTTGTTTTCAAAGCTCAGGACTATAAACTGATGACGGAGTATTGAATGAGTTTCAGTTTCAAGCAAAAAATATAGACAAAACCTCGTGTTCTGTATTATATCCTCCTTATGAGATAGTCCACAATATTGGAAACTGTGTAAATATTTACACCTAACCCCCCCCCAAAAAAAAGTGCAAATGAATACACATTTAAAAGATACAATTTTGATGATCTTCCTTTTACGACGTTATAGGGTGAGATCTGCCACATCCATGTGTCCTTTAATACATGTTGTTTTCTTTTTTGTTTTGAATTGTGATTTTTTTTTCTTCCCATAACGCCCTGCGAAAAACTTATTTCTATATCAATACAATGTCGTAATCCCTAAGCGGAAACAAAAAAATCTAGGTAAGCAGCAACATCCGTGATTTTCATTTGATCTGATAATACATGCATACCTTTAAGCAATGTGTCTTCCAGAAGGTCGGTCTCTTGAAATTTAACTCGCAAGAAAATTAAGACTAATGGGAGAGGCCGGCTGACAAAATCAATGGACCCTCTTTGAATAACATATCAAATAAGCCAGACGTCACTCCACATGAGCGGGCTGAAAAGGCGCAATGACAAAAATCTACCTCAAACATATGTGCACGCAGTAATTGCGCGAAGCGATGAGATGAAATTTCTTCTCCACTGAATACTTCGTTTTCATTTCCCGCTATGTTTTGTCAAAATTAATTCCTTATCTTAAGGAGGTAAATTTCTGCGATGTCTATCATTTTTAAGTCCTGCATTCCTGCTTGCTTGCCACAAAAAAGTGGATCGATTAGGGAGAGCGGGGATTCAAAAAGAAAGTCGAGGTTTCTACTGACGGCAGATTGTTGGAAGTGCTACACCGCTCAATCCATTTGACCAATTAATCAGCCAGTCACTACAATATGACATGCAGAAATAATCATACGCGATGTACTTCTGCTTGAGCAACTCATAACTCATGCGATACGGAAGAAAGTACTTCCCTCTAACAAACAGAACACCATGTCTGAGTTTATAGTTTTAGCGTTTTTTCTTCATGTGACTTCAAGGTCACGCATGTGTATGTTCTCTGAAATAATATTGTAAATTGATGGATACTATAGAACGCTCAATTTCCCTAATCTAAGTATGGGTGTTCTAGGCACGTAGCACTCGAAACTCTTGCATTTGAAATTTTCTTCTACATGAATGAATTTCATATTTGATCATGACAAGCAAAGTACACAAATGAAGCCCTAACATTAATTTAATAACTTTCATTGGCATCTCTTCCAACAAATATGAACAACAAATGGTTTAACCCGGCCCTCAATGAACAAATTCTGCAAGAAACATACAACACATCTCACAGAGGATTTCCTTCCGCCAGTGGTATCTCAGTATTGATACAAATAAGTTAATGACTTATACGTGATCTAGGTCCTAGTTTGAACTGTGAATTCTGAACTTTGTTTAGCTTCTGAAAAGATACTTAGCAAAATTGTTCCGATCCTGAGTGCCAAGAGTGGATGAGGAGGGCATATTGAAAGTCGCGAGTCTTACCTGTACACCGCGTTATACTAGTTTGAGCGGTAGGCCTGAAGGACGCCTCCTCACGTTTGGCCCTGATGTTGAATGAACAATGGAAGGTCCTCTCCCAGAACTGTTTGAACCAGAAGTTGGTGTGGTTCAGCGGGTTAAGAGACGTGAAATAGCTGTCAAAACCTTTAGAGAGAAAGAGAGAGAGAGAGAGAGAGAGAGAGAGAAAGAGAGAGAGAGAGAGAGAGAGGGGAGGAAGGTAGAGAAAGAGAAGGAAAGAGAACAGAGTTACCAACTGACATAAATATTCCCCTGTGTAATGATGTTGGCCTTCTAAATTGATACATTGGAATGGCCCTAATTCACCAATGGCTTGATAAAACGTTTGGTCGAGAATAAAGAATGCTCTTTTCCTGTTGGTCATGTGTATTATGGTCTGGGTTAAAAATGTAGCCATGGTAATAAGTATACAGGCCTATTGCTGATCCTCTCCCTGGTGAATACATTATGCATCTTGTTTTTTCCTTTTCCCATTCTTTTGTTCTGTCCTACTTCGATAATACTACTGCGCTTCGCTTCCTCCATCTCCCCTGCTGATTTTGCTGCCTGAACTAAACCCTGACTAAACTACGTCCATTGATAATACAATATCATATGACTGTACTCATTTAAACAATACTAATCATGAAAAATTAATTCAAAAATATTCTTTGGAAATCTTAGACGTATTTATACTTTCCTAATATAACATTTAAGCCCTATACGATGGATGACATCAGTTGATAAATATCTTAATTCTCGAAACATGATTTTCAATGTAGGTCATGTTGATTGAATTGAACCGTCGTATAATCTACATCTATTTTAAAAAGCCGAATTCCCGTCGTATAATCTACGTCTATTTTAAAAAGCCGAATTCAAATCGAGTCTTTGGATAAAGTGAGGCGTGGAGTTCCTTATGCATACGCACATGTGTGGACATACCCAGACCCACACGCGCACCCCACACACACCCAACGCACACATTATCGTACCGTCGTTCCAATCAGCCATTTATTTTCATTTTATTCAATCGAATCAACATATGCAACATAGAGACTGGACAGTGTTTTAAATTGTTGAATTCGTTATATGAAACCATAATCTAATTATTACGTTTGATAACACTCTAACACCTTTATCGAGCAAGATCTATTTCCTCAACGCTATAATAAGATTTCCTCCTCAAAACCCAAGGGGAAAAAGAATCCCATTTACACTTTAATCCAATTTTAGCACTCTCAACCCTTTTTTAGGTTGGACTAGTTCTCACGAGGAGTTTATTTTCCTCCTAACACAACAAATCTATTTTCGTCATCGTTTATCTACAAATAATTTGTATCACCTTTAGCAGATTGACTTGCATAATCATGCACTATTATGCTTCATACATTGTTTCTGTGAATATGATGGTTCTAAAAGTAAGGGTTCAGGCGCATCAGAGACACGAGGCATGTGACATCACTAAGTCATAATTCCTGTCAACAAAGCTTTAATTTGTTGTGGACAAAATTTGAAAACTGGTACTTCACATTAAATGAACGAAGTAAAAAGAGTATCTAAGCCTTGAAATTAAAAAAAACTATATAGCTATTGTTTAAGTCTCTATCATTCAATATGTGTATTAATGATAGAAAAATAAAAATAAATGATATTGTGTTCTTTTTACCTGATATGTAAAATATAGCAAATTGTAAATATTGAGATAAAGGCTATCGCAAAAATATCACGTATATATTTCACGTCAAGTTAAAGACTTTGGAAACATGAAATTTTATCATGAGGCAAGAAAAGCCAGGTCATCGGCAAATTATAAATTTGTTAAGAGAAGCTTACTTTTTGATTGCTTGAAATAGACCCTAATGTATACTATTTGACATATTTTACACTCATATTATGAATCTTTAAAAGTGCACTGCTTCTATTTGCAAGAAAACGGATCAACTTCTGATACTATAGAACTATAAATCAAATTACAATGAACCATAGAGTTATCCTAGTTTCATTTATTTAATATAACTTTTAGCACACGTGATGACAAGTATTGGTTCGTTTATTAATTTCTAATTCAACTAAAAATATAAGACTAAAGAATGAAATAGATTTGAGATCACACACACACGCACGCACAAACATACATACATACATACATAATATATAAATATAAGTCATACATGATTTCTGTTTTACCTTTGTCTGGTGTCCTAGCTGGTAACAGAGTTATAGCGCCCTCCGCTGATTTCTCTTGCGTCTCGACTGCATTATGCTTTGTACCCCAGTCGTCACTTCCAATCATGATGAAATGCTTGGTCTTATTAGCACGTTTCACTGCCTCGAGTAGCCATCGAACGTCTGTCTCGGAGGCAAACACCACCGCTCCTTTGGCATTGGGCGCTTTTTTGATGACGTATTCCACAATATTATCAAACGTAGCGTTGGTTGGATCACGAGATATCACTTCTGAGGCTGCAATGCATATATCTATGAGGACAGAAAATTGACAAGATGACAAAGAAATAAATTACTTCACTAATAAGTTGAATAAAATCAAAGGTGTAAGTCACATCTCTCCTGTAAAATGTCAAAGTATACACTTTGTTCTTGTCAGGTAGAATGCTCAGAAAAATAGCGATGGTTATTGAAAGTCATCTAATTTGTTGTTATTAGGATGGAAAACAAATGTAGTTTAGAATATTTTCTTCCAAAATTTGATCAATAGCCAAAAGCCCTCTGCAGAATTGTGAATAGTTTATTGATCAAAATTCTCTTTCTGAATTAGTTTATCGAAACTGACTAGATGATAATCGGAGTGGGGACATAAATTATTCAATTTATCCACAGAAGACAAAGGAGAACATGATTATAAGTTCATCGACGGAAACCGGCCCACATGCCCATTCAGGGCATTGCCGCCTGTTCTACTGAAAATCAATGACCATTGCATTAGTCAGTATTCACAAAACACACCCCCATGTTCGATTCGAAGCCAAGGGGGGTTCCAAGACATCTATTTTAACAATGGGACAATAGCTTTATAGCAGGAAACAGTAAACATTAACACTTCTGAGTGCTAATAGCAAGAGTAGCATAATACATGTGGGTTAAAATCCCTAAGGAGGATCACTATAATCCTCCCTGATGTCTGCGACAGAAACACTGCCAGGGTAGGTCCGACCATGCTCGGGACCGCTGTCATCAATATGAGTAGGATTGTATCCCCCTTTCCATCGTAATACCCTCGTACATAAGCTCGGCGGTATCCTTTTAGTCACCAGATTCCCAAGTTCAGCACAAAGAAAGTGCTTGGTATCAATCCTACTCCAGCTTGGTACACTTGATTTCAATTGAAGACCTAAGTAGCAAGTCATTACGTCACGGTAAACTGATACACGAGCGCCGCATATGCTCGCATTAACTGGGCCACTTTAACGATATAACGGTATCCTAGTTTTGCGTGTTTACCAAGTTTTAGAACGTCTCAGTTCTAAGAACACTGGCCTCTACGGTTGGAGACGTTCATGCTGAAGGAATGATCATAGAGTGTACAACTGCATGCAGTGTGGAGTATGCGACTAGAGTCTCAAGCTTAACAAAGACGACATACCTTTAACATAGGATCGTGTTTCGATTGATATCCAAATAATAATAGCGATGCAGCTACACGCCAAAAATATTAACCAAACGAACGCAGGTCGTAATGAGAGGAACATCCAGCTATCGGCTATCCCTCGTTTTTATAGATTAAAAGAAAGGCGGAAAACATCTAAACTTCTAGAGTACTTACAATTGCACTTGAAGAAAGATTAGAAAGAAATATTTAATATTCAATTTTCTTAAAAGAATTCTACCTCGTGTGTTTCCTATGATTTTACACAAATAACAATTTATCAGAATACAGAAAATATCCCTTTGTTGTGGATTTCAATTTCTATTTTCTCCGAAGAAACATTTCTTCCAATAGTTATTATCGGTTATTTTTTGTTCGATCTTTATCTAAAATATATAATTCAATGTAATACAACACTTGAGTCCGATCATGTTATGTAAGTACATGTAATAAATAGCGTAGTCTGTTTGTAATAACCGTATCGGAAGACTCATATCATTTTCGTTATATAAATATAACATTTTCCGATAAATAGAAAGGAAACAAAAAAAGCTTTGAAACAAAATCTCATCTAATGTTTGTGGACATCGGCAATGTAAGATGATACAAGAAAGAGACCTAAGGTTCGTGTATAATTTCCTTTTGTATCTTCAGGTAAACTGCCATTGGACCAATTTGTGTATGCACTGCTCTCAAGTTGTTCTGTTGTAGCATGAAGACTGTTTTCTTTCTCTTAGTGAAGGTACAAGAATCCTCGCGAGACAAAAAATATGTAAAGATCGATGGAGCACCCCAAATATTTGTCAAAATATATCACAGACATGACATTACAAGAATACCACTTTCAATTAGAGCACGTTCCGTGAGGGGAAAATAGATATCCATGCTCATGAGAAAACATGAATGGATCGGGAAAAAGGAAAACATAGTATGCCTTTACACCCCGTACGCATATGAAAATATTTTTCATACAAACTGATAGGTGAGAGAGGTCTGACCCTAGAGCGCTGTGTTAATGTGGTATACCGTAACTTTATAGGGGCATGTCCCCCGAAGGTCCGTATAGCCCTCCTTTAGTGACGCTAGGATCCACGCGCAATGGGACACCTTGTGGCCGCGGGACATTGATAAGAATTCCCCGCCAAATGATTACTTTTCCTGCCTATCGATATAAATAAAGCGGAGAGGTCTGAGCGTTGAGCGGGGAAACCTTCTCGTGTTCTCATGTACCTCGCGTCGTTCTGTAGCTGATGCTTCCAAGACCTTCACCTCTGTAAAGGTGGATTTCGCCGATCCAATGCAATTTTTTAAACGGTGCATTTGTTTATAACCCCTTTGTCTTTTCTTAACTAACCGATTTTTCGAATCTTTATTTCGTAGCGAATTTTCACTAGGAAGATGTGATCCTTTGTTAAAAAGATGAAAATTGACTTGATACTAAATTAAGGTAAGCTATTTATCGTCCCCCTGGCTCTGGAAATAATTGAAAGGCATTTCATGCGGTGATGATGAATACTAATCTTACGATTGTTCGAGAGACCTCAAAAAGCAGGTACATTTAATGCAAGTTTCATTTAAAATGCAGTTACAGGAAAACCTAAAAGTGCGGCTTCTTTGAAACCGCGACCGTTCTACTATCATGACTATGGTCGCTAAATCAGGTTTAACTGTGTACAGATTTCACTATCGTTCGACAACCATCTTTCTCTCAGAGTAGGTACGTACACTCTTAAAATGTTGGGTAAATTTAGTTGGGTAATTGTTGGTTGGTTAAAAAAATTCGTTATTCTGGGCTATTATTACCCATTTAAGCATTTAAGTGTTTTAACCAATATTGGGCAATTATTTTTACTTAATTATTGGGCGGATATTTACCAACAGTATTGGTAAATGAGGGTTGGGAACCAGTTGCCCCGTAGTTGTGTAATTTTGCCACATTTCCTTTGCGAGTTGGGTAAATTTTGTTGGGCAACTGATGGTTGGGTAGAAATTCGCCTAGAAATTTACCAACATTATTTTGCAAATTAGGATTGAGTAATTTTTGCCTGTAGTTGTGTAATTTTGGCACATTCCACTGCGAGTTGGGTAAATTTCGTTGGGCAACTGATGGTTGGTCGAGAAATCGTTTCCAAAGTTGGGTAATTTTTATCCCAATCTATTTCAGGGCATTATATTTACCCAATTATTATACATTTAGCAACAACATCGTTCCAAGGAGTTGAGAGCAATTTACCAAGTAGTTGGGTAATTGTTAGATGCTGAGGAATATTACTCATCACCACTTACCCAATTTGACTTTGCTAAAATTTTGTTTGCTCATATTTGGGTAATAATTGACCACCGCCTCTTACCCAATTTTACTTTGCTCAAATTTTTGTTTGCTCATATATTGGGTAATAAATGACCACCGCCTCTTACCCAATTTTACTTTGCTCAAAATTTTTGTTTGCTCATATATTGGGTAATAATTGACCACCGCCTCTTACCCAATTTTACTTTGCTCAAATTTTTGTTTGCTCATATGCTGAGTAATAATTACCCATCACCACTTACCCAATTTTACTTTGCTCAAATTTTTGTTTGCTCATATATTGGGTAATAAATGACCACCGCCTCTTACCCAATTTTACTTTGCCCAAATTTTTGTTTGCTCTTATGCTGAGTAATAATTACCCATCACCACTTACCCAATTTTACTTTGCTAAAATTTTTGTTTGCTCATATATTGGGTAATAAATGACCACCGCCTCTTACCCAATTTTACTTTGCCCAAATTTTTGTTTGCTCATATGCTGAGTAATAATTGCCCATCACCACTTTACTTTGCTCAAATTGTGTTTGCGCATAATTGGGTAATAATTGACCACCGCCTCTTACCCAATTTTACTTTGCTCAAATTTGTGTTTGCTCATATGCTGAGTAATATTTACCCATCACCACTTACCCGATTTTACTTTGCTCAAATTTTTGTTTGCTCATAATTGGGTAATAATTGACCACCGCCCCTTACCCAATTTATTTTGCCCATATTTGTGTTTGCTCATATGCTGAGTAATAATTACCCATCACCACTTACCGAATTTTACTTTGCTCAATTTTTGTTTGCTCATACATTGGGTACTATTTGACCAACGCCTATTACCCAATTTCACTTTGCGCCTTTTTTTGTTTGCTTATATAGGGTAGTAATTGACCACCGCCTTTTACCAAATATATTTAGCTCAGTTTTCTTTAGCTCACAATATGCTGTGTAAATATTGCTATGAAAAATTGAAATTATCTCTCCTGTAATTGTAACCATTTACTTCTATTTTAAAATTATAATAACAGAGTGTTGAAGCGACGATGAATTTGTGCGAGTTTGATGCTGAAAGAGTCCAAGATTTATCTTTTGTGAAAACTGAGCCATCTTAACCATGTAGGCCTATAGAGTTACCGGTACATAATCTACGTAAGTAATGATCATGGAACGTACACGCTATCATCGTCAATTACGCGCATGCGTAAATGGCAGTGGAAACCTTCGATGGGGACTAGACTTACGTTTAACCAGACTTGGGTAAAGTTTGCCTGGTATTGGTCTTGGGGTAGCGCGCACATGGCCTGGTCGCTCGCGATCAGCATGCCATGCGCAGTACTATTTCTATTTACCGGCCCGGGAGCTCGAGCTATATGATACACCAACGTAACTAGCAGCCTGTACGTACGTACGTATACGCATCATATCGGAGTCTTGCATGCTAGAGCCTGAGGGTCTAAAAATGGAGCTCGACAACTGCTGCGGAGATAGTTCAAGTGAAGATGAGTTCATAGACCCTCTCACCAAAATCGTTCAAAGGTGGGGATGTCCGTCAGTGTTAAAGATACTAGAAGGTACGTTCACATCTTATTGAGATTAGAAGTTTAGAACATGATCAACAGGTACTTGCTGTAGACTTGTTCCCATATCCATAACACATGGGCAACATGTAGACTAGTTCTATGTGCCTCAGCAATGGTTAATGAATACGCTTCAATTCAATTGGTCTATTAAACTTTGCCTCAAATTTGCTCTTTTAATGCATGTGTTACTAATCCAAACTAATATTTGATTGATATAGATATCAAATTCAAATTGTACTGTTTCCATGAATTTTAGATCACAAATGAATATTTAAAAATATTTTGTTCAAGATTTTACAAAACCCAAAGGCCAAAACCCGGATTTCTGTGCTGTTTCCTGCTACAATACATACATAACACAATACCCTCCATTTTCTATGGATCATGGGTTGTATGGGGACGGGTCCAATCACAGAACTCTTAAATACGTATTTAAGAGTTCTGTGGGTCCAATACATTGGACCACATACTTGTAGGTGTGTACCCAGATAGTATTACAGTACGTGGGACTGGTGTAATTTTGAACAATTATCTCTGTTATCTGAAATTGGTATTACTATACTAGATCTAGTCTAGGTCTAGATCTAGATCTAGGCCTACTTATATTTAATAATCAACACTGAACTGAATGATTCATCAGAAAATTGAAGTTGTCAAATAATGTACAATTTTATGAACATTATTTTGTGGAAGATCATCTTTCATTTTCCTGTAGATCTAGAAGTCTAGATTTCAAAAAGTGAGACAATTTTTCTTGCCCATTGCCATGTTAAGGATTTTGCCCTTTCATTTTCTACAGGACTTTGAAATCCAAACACTCTAAAAAAATGTTGGGCAAGTGCCCAATTTTTACCCAACATGAGGGCACTTATGTGTCCGACTGACTATTGGGTAAATTAAAGATTTTGCATGATTTACCCAGTGTTGGATGAAAAGAAAATACCCAACTTTTAACCAACAAAATTTACCCCAATAGGAAATTCACCCAATTCTCACCATAATGTGTGGTATATTCGACACTAGTTGGGCAA